AAAGCATCTGGACAGCACCAGGTTGGAGAAGGCTGGCCAATGAGGCAGGGAAGGGGCAGGAAATGGTATCAGGATGTGGTGTAGCTTTACTTGCATCCTGCAGAGTGGAAGAACTGGACAAGAGATGCTATTTCTGGTGGCAGCCTGAAGTTCTGTCTTCACTAGAAGAAGACTAGCAACGAACAACACACTTAGTATGAGTGAGAATTTGGTGAAAGAAGGTGAAAGACACAATGGAATGCATATTTACTAACTCAGTGCCAGCCATGGTGAATAGCCTACTGTCAATATATAGCTAAGAAGAGGGGTCTTCTGGATAATACAGCAAACAAGTCTTTTGTGATATTATGAAATGAGGTAAGCGGGATTGCAAAAATATTTCAGATTAACAGACACACAACACACTAATTTTACAGAGGCAGATACCCAGTTTAACCAGCCCTGCATGTTATCTCTTCTCCATAAACATTTGGAATACTGCAAAGTTAAAAACAAACGAACAACCCTCCCCCCCCCCACAAAGTATTCACTACAATTCATGAGTACATATAAACATGGCTTCATCATAGCTAGTGAAAATTCTAGCTTATGCTACACATTCATATGGAACACATTTGCCCTGCTCTTTATATGGTAATTTTGTCTGGAGGAGCTGTCATTTCGGCTTTGACTGAAATTAACTGTAGACACCTTAACAGGATTAAAAGAATCCCTAAGTACTCTTTAGCAATAAAGCCAATTACTTAACAGCAGGGAGTCTCTTCATCAATTAATGCAGTCAATGTGATTGCTATTCAGTGTGCATGGGACACACAGAGGAAAGCTGCATTTAAAATAGCTTCATTAACTCAGGACAACAAGGAAAGTGTAAGATAAATTCACAATCAATTCTGCCAGGGTTCATTATAGGCACACAGTCAAGGTCTAAACTCAATTTAGTTCAGCATCACATTTTCCTTTATGATATGAAAGTCTTGATTTAATTTTCGCTGCAAATTTAGTATAACACAAGATCTCTGTATAATAAGAACTTATACATGCATTAAAATATTAATCTATGACATACAATACAAAATGCATGCAGTTTTCGTACAACCATTATGCCACCTCAGCTGACAAATAAAAGCTTTTCTTAGCTAAATAGCAGAAACCATGAAAAGATTAGCATTCCACAGGAAAAGCATGGTAGTACTCTTACTAACAAACAAATAACATTTCCAAGTCCTTGCAAAAAAAACCTTAAGTTAGTTTTCCCCCATCCAAACAAGTGAAAAACTCTGAAACTGCAATTCTGTACCTATTTCTTTTCATGTAATCCCCATGAACATTTGATTTACTTCTGTGTAAACATGTTGCAACCATGCTGTAAGTAGCTAAAGCCAATTTAGAACTTCCCTAATATGTCCAGTGTACCCTACTGTCAGCTCTATTAAGAAATATGTTCAATATATAGCAATGCGCAATTGGTATGCTATAGATTGTACTCAGTACTGGACAAAGAATAACATACTGTCAGTGTTTTCAAGACAAAAATCAATGGTTAACTTCATACAGTAGCAGGCCACATTCAAGCATGACTAAAAATAGAATACTTCAGCAAAAGCAATTTGGAAAAACTACCAGAGATTTTTCTAGGAGCAAATCAAAGTATCAACAGCTTCTTGTCTTTCCTTCTTTTTTTCACGAGGAAACAGAGGAAACGAATGAAATTTGTCATTTGACAAATGACAGAAACAGAGGAGACAGAATGAAATTTTCAGACAACTATACTTGAATACAAAATTATTAAAATTAAAAATTAAAATCAGTAAAGGGGATTATTGTTACTGATAGTGTGACTGCTATATACATCATCATCATCATCATCATCAATTCGATTGCTATACCACCTAGCAGCCAATGCTCCCTGGGCTGTGTACAAAATCAATAACAATTTAAAATATAAATAACAGTAAAATCATCATAAAATATCACTGAAAATTTGAAACCTAATTTTAACAAAATAAACAGCTAAGATGGGTCTATAAAGCTTAACCTCCTAAAAAAACTGACAATACCTGTGTGCCCAACAAGTGTTCTTTCAAGCTATAAAATGCCTGGGCACAGAGAACACTCGGCCTGGTGCCGAAAGGATGGCAATGTTGGAATCAGGTCAGTCTCAGTGCAGAAGTCATTCATCAAGCGAGGGTCTTGTTGCCACCACCCAAGCCTTCTCTTAGCATGGCAGTCAGAGAAAAATACCAGGTATTAACCCTAGTGCAGGAAGATTGCAGTTGGCAGAGGAGTTCCATTATCTACTGTGGGCCTAAGCCATGCAGGGCTGTATTGGTTAAAACCAGCACCTGAAATCAGGCAATGTACAGCAGCCTGTGCAAGCAGGCCAGAACTGGTGTTATGTGCTCAGACCTTTTGGTTCCTGTTATAAATCTGGCTGCCACATTTTGCACAAGCTGTGGCTTCTGAACTACATTACTTTATATTTGCTCATATGTGCCATTTAACAGCAAGATAAACTAGTCCAGTGTGATTTAGTTCACTGGGCTTGGAATGCAGAGACATGGCTTAAAAACCTCATTCAACTGTGAAGTGCACTGAAGTATCCTGAGCAAATCTCAAATCAACCTCACCTACCTGACAGTGAGTATAACAAAGAGAAAATGCTGTAAGTCTGCTTAAATCACCACCATGGGGTCTAAGCATTCTATTCTCAAGTGTTCAGATAAATATTAATAAATATTAATACAGATACACACAGTACTTCAAGCCATAAACTCATCTAACCTGTATTACTGAATCTTTTCTCCAGATTTATTGGGATTCTGTGTCTAATTTTCTGTTGAAGATGTAATTTAGAGCTGTAGAATAGGATTATTCTAGATTCTTGCTATAGATTATTCCATAGGGTTAGGAATATCTGAATATGTAATGCTCAAATATGCTCAAATTTGGAAAAGCCACAAATAGAAATAAAAATTAAGCTTACAGTTGGATTTTCACCTTACCAGTAGTCCCTCTCAGATGGGTATAATTATCATTTGGTGCTTCTGTACATTCCTTGCACACATATCATCATCTGAATTTCACATGTTTCCATGTTTAAATATGGCTTTGCCAGTCCCAATGTTATCTTGGCTCTCTCTTCTTAGATTCATAGAATAGTAGAGTTGGAAGAGGACATTAAGGTCATCAAGTCTAATCTCCTGCTCAGTGCAAAACTCCAAGTTGAAGCCTCTTGGAAAGATGGATGTCAAGCTGCCTTCTGAATGCCTCCAGTGCTGGAGAGCCCATGACCTCCCTATGTAATTGGTTCCACTGACAACTACTCAAACAGGCAGGATGTTTTTCCTGATGTCTAGCCAGAATCTGGCTTCCTGCCACTTGAACCCATTATTCCATGTCCTGCACTCTGGGAATGTTACATACTGGAACAATTGTCAGAATATAAATGTGACATCAGAACCTTTTACTAAGAACCTAGGATGAGTCCTTAGAGAAAGCCTGCAGTCCTATATCCACAAGTAAGTAAAGTCCACTGCTTACTGGTTTGCATGCTGAAGGTTCCAGATTCAATCTCCAAAATCATCAGGTAGGGCTGGAAAAAAATCTCTTTACTATTGACAGTTCTGGCCTAGATTGACCAAGGGTCTGATGCTTCTAAGTAAGCCTCATTAACTCATTCTTTAGGATTCTGCTGTTAGAGTATCAAGTACTATTAGCACATTAGCAGCACTAATTCAGATTTCTATTTAAATACTCCAAATAATGTGAAATGAGATGTAGCCAAACCCACAATTGTCAGTGTTCCTGTATAGACGGATCAAAGCTTTTGTAGGCTCTAAGAAATGGAAGGAACATAAAGGTAGGCATAATGTTGTTAGATTGCTGAGCCCAATTTAGCAGCACACATACTGAATACAATCTACATATATTTTTCCTTGCTAACATTATGCTTTTGGGGAAAAAAATTTATGCAAATTTGCAGTGTAAGCTGATTGGCTGTTATCACATCACCTTTAAAAATTCTTAGCCCAGTGCAGTTTTGAACTTTAACAAATATTTTAATTAATAATTAATCTTCTTAACAGATGAACAGATACATTCATGAACAGATACATTCATATGCAGGCCTTAAAAGGTAAAACAAGCGAGCAGCCAACCTGAAGCAAAAGGAACCAGTTCGGACTCACAGATGCATTAGTGCTTGATCTGCTAATAAATTTGTCTGCAAAAGGAAGTCACACTCCCCCACAGCTGTGAGATGTGTGGCAAGAACTCATGTCTGAATTGCAGTGTTAAAAGTCCTACTGCATTCAATGTGACTTACTCCCAGGCAAATGGTAATGTACTGGTACCATCATCTCGTTTCTAGGATTCATGCCGTCAGTTCTGTCGCTTACATAGCCAAACACACAAAAAAGAGCTTGGCAAGCTTGGGGAAACCCCAAGATTTGCAAAAATACCAGACCTATTACTGTTGTGGTTATTTATTTCATTTCTATACCACCCCATGGCCAAAGCTCTCTGTGCCATTTCAGTGCAAGAGACCCCAAACAGTCCACTAAGGACTAAGCATGCTCCATGGTCACAGAACGCTGACTGCTGTGGACAGGGTGCAAAATTGTGGAAAGAAGAGGGGTGCAGTACAGCGTCACAGGGCAGGGTATGCGTGACTGTCAAACAGCAGATGGGAGCACTCTGTGCTGCAAGATTTTTTTTGGAGGTCCCACATGTTATTGTCTGTTTTTACCATAATGTGATGAACCTAAACACAGTTACTTAAAAGTTGAAGCTGACAGAATAAAGATGCACAGATCATGTTGGCTAAATGGAGTTATATGTCACAGTACGTATACATAAATGCTTGTGTGAGTCATTTGCACATAGAACAAGATATGAATTGATTCCTAAACAGATCTGAACATTTAAAGCATGTTTGACAGCAATGTTAAAAGCAGTAATTACAAGCATCAATGTAGGCTGAATGCTTATACTCCTCTTACCTCCCAGAGCACTTTTTAATGCAGAACTGTCCTCCACCGCAGACCCAGTCAGAATACTGCATCCAGGCTTTGGCTGTGGCACTTGAGAGTGTTCCATGAAATGAACACAATTTACTTGATTAAATTCCCTCAGCTGAGCATTTCCAGCACTGTCTGTAAAGTGTAGAAGGCCCTCATTATCCCCTATGGTTTTAACCACATCACTTCCAGAGGACACCTTAAAATTCATGGCCTGTGAGTCTGAATGATCAACATTACTGCTTATAAAACAAGGGAAGTCAGGATCATCATCTTCAGGGATAGGATTGTACCATATTTCTCCTTCATCATCTGCATCATTATCATCACCAAAATCTAAAGTACATTTTTGCATCACCAATGGGTTCATCCCATTCACAGCAGCATGTACAGAACGGACTCTTCTTTTGGGGCTCTCATGCCCTATAAGTGTGGAAGAAGTCTGAGTCATCTTTGGCTCAAGCAAAGGACTGGGAGTTTTCAGTACCTGGTGGCCTTCCCCTGATTTTTTTTTACCAGAGTTTCCTTTCTCCAAATTAGGTACTCTTGGAGAACTTTGATGCAACCAGTTCCGCTTCTTTGACACTGTGATGCTGGTAATCCGAGGCCTGCACTCTGCTCCTTCAATGGATTTAAATGTCTTGAGTTCTCTTCTGCTTACAGAGGGTATGTAAACATTTTCAATCAGATCTGTAAAAAAGTTGGAGGAGAGCATTAAAGCATTCAGATTTCAAGTATGCATAAACAGAATCAACTTTATATTTAATGCTTTTTAAAAAATGACATACAAGCTTGTTCACAGCTTGTTTAAGCCATGGGTTATAGGGGCTACATGCAGGTTTCTGAGGGGATGCATTGCTTCAAACCACATCTGCTTTGAATTAGCTTAAATCAACTATCTAGAAACAAATCTATGGATTGTTGTTGGGTTAAAACTCTGGATAGTTTGACCTTCAATAATCCAGAGTTCTATGTTTGTAACTTACATCAACCAGCCCTGGAACATGGTATACCTGGGTTCTTCTTGCAAAGCAGGAGGCAGAGACCTAATTGATTTATGGGTCAAACAGCCATTAATTGGTGTTATGTGTGAAGCAAGTCAATAAGTCACACTGCAATTGGATTTCAGCCATCGCATCCACAATAGTCCAGTTGCAAAACAGAAGATCATACATATCCTGCATTTCCAATATGACAATATGTACTGTGCATAAATACTGAATGGGACAGATATACTGACCAAATATACCAGATAAGGGTTTATTGTCTTTTTCTGAAAAATATACTGCTGGCTCATGAGATTGTACCACCTGGTTTATCTTATTTCTTGAATCATGTGGGTACATAACAAACTTTTTTTCTGCCAGTGTTATCACACCAACACCTGCCTGTAGCAAGATAATCTGGACAACAGGCTTATCTGAACAGGCTATACTGCCTTGAAAACAATATTTATGAAGGGAATTTTCTAAAGACAGTATGCTGAGATGCACATACACAGAACTTAAATTTTTTTTCACAAAATTTTATCCACATATCTAATAATAATAATAATGGTTGGTCTTCAAATGCCACTGAAGTCACTGAAATACTGAATGGGACAGATATGCTTCCCAGGAGGCTCCAATGGTTATTCTGTAACCAGTGCAGTTTTGCCATGTAGTATCATGAAAATGTGAGTTCTCAGTATGGCACCTATCCACTCCCCCATGCATGGTTCAAGAAGCAGAAACTGTGGTAAGTTTCAAACACCTTCTGTTTACCTAGGCTTGAAACTGACTGTGACACTGCTAACTATTTTATATTTCTCCTGGATTCACGTATATTAAATATTTTTATTTAAGTATTCACCATTTTATATTGCATGCATATTATCACATGTGTATTTTAAAGCAATCTATCTACAGATTTTTATAATAATTGGCATGTATGTATTATAAATAAAAATAAATTAAATTATGTAGACATTGAATAGGACAGGCTACAGACATCTTAGAGGTTTACTCCTCTGCATGTCTACTCACTTGTTCAACTGATTTCAGTGGTACATGTGCCAAGCGCATGCAAGATTATAACACAACACATTTCCCTATGCTAAGTATGTTTACTCCAGAAGTCTGCCTTACTGTATCCAATGGGGCTTATTCCCAGGTAAGAGTATGCGTACGAAAGCAGCCTTAGTTTCTCAAAGAAAGTCAAATTCAGATCAGGTTGGAAACTGCCATGGAAACTTGAATCAGCAGTTTGTGGCTTCAGTTTGGATGTTTTTTAATGAAATGCATGCAGTTATTGCTGAACGGACTATGTACCCAGCACAGCTTAGCAATGTACTTCTGTGCCATTTCAAGCTTTAAAATAGTTGCCATTGAATTGCTGAACATGCAGAGTGATTTTTTTAATGGGGTGAGAAAACAAAATGACCAGAGTCGCATGATGCATCTGTCTAGAAAGCCTAAAAAGACTTACTGTTTCACACACTTAAGCTGAAAATCCAGCTCTCAGGAATTCTCTTACTTGATTTACTTGTTTTCTCTCTTTTTATCAACAAACTACATAGCTGATATATGCTATATAGTTCAATAAACACCATTTCACTAATGTAGTTTTCATGTAACGTCAAGACAGACCAGGGCTTTGGACAGCAGCATAGGGAGAGAGATGAGAGATAAGGAAAAGCTACATACTTGGATAGTGAACTATTCAAATCAGATGCACTGAGAGTAGTAAAAGTCTTGACACAACTACAAACGAAATTAGGGTCATGTCTGAACTTGTATCACATTCCAAGTATACAGGAACTGCAAAAAGAGAATCTAACCCCCCACCCCAACTTATCACACATTGCTTACATCTCTTGATAAATGTTTATTCAGTGAGCATGCAATTTTGTGAGCTATCATGACCCACCAAGAGACAAGATTCTTAGTGTGGCTTTCATCCTTCTGGAAGAGGAATCTTCACAGCAAATGCTTAAACATCAGATCCATCTAAGATGCATTTTTAAGAAACATACTCCTCCTGTTTCCATAAAGCAAACATACTGACACATCCATCTAAAACAAACAAAACACTTCAAAAATGGCTTTGTTTGCTAAGCAAATAAATAAGGGTGAAGGAAGCTGATGCAATTATACTGTAGAATTATTTCGTGTGTAACATCTTGCTCCAGAGGTTGTCATGCTGAGAAAAGAACTGTTTGAATTAACTAAAACTAGATGTGAATCCTGCCCTGGCTCACTGGATTTTCATTATCACAAGCAGTGCTATTCAAAGGAGGGTAGGATGGTTACTTCCAGTGCTATTTCAAACCAGATGGGATTATTTCTCATGAGTACTTGTCTTTCTGGCCAGTTTACTGATTATAATTGTAGTTGCTTAGTATGTAGAAGCAACTGAATGGTCCTGTGCACAAGGCAGACATGTTAAAAGGCACGGATCCCTTTGCTTCACAGTGGGGAAAGGGGCAAAAGAAGGCAGTTCAAATTTGCCTTTTGCAAGTAACACTGCTATAGTTATTGTGATGGTGGGTGTATATGTATATATGTGTATAACCCCAACCATAGCAGTAACTGTAGTTAGTGCACACTATTTTATAATTTAATCTTGAATTTATATAACAACAGAACTTTGGATCTTTGTATGGCCCCTTGTTGTTGTTAGTCGAGAAGTTGTGTCTGACCCATCGTGACCCCATGGACAACATTCCTCCAGGCCTTCCTGTCCTCCACCATCCCCCGGAGTCCACTTAAGCTCACGCCAACATGGCCCTTTGTAGCCCTTGCCAAAACCTGAAAATTGACCCCTGAATTAGTTTCTTAGGAGTTTTGGGAGAGAGAGTTCTGATTCTACACATAAACGTCAGTATAGTTTTTAAGTCTATGCATGTGTTGTTTTCCTCTTACTGGCAAGATTGGACAGCACCTATCAGATTCTTAGGAATGTTCTGAACCCTGATCTTGCTTCCATTAAGATTCTGATCCTATACAATCTGCTTGAATATGCTCATGACCAATATCCCGCTAGAAAAAGAACTAGTCCTAATCTGATTCTCCAACCTATTCACTTTGAATGGGATTATATCTAACAACAACCCAGAGTTCGGTTAAGTATGGGATGTCATTGAATTGTGGGTTATTAGTCAATCATGAGCTGTTGTTATGTGTAAGCTATAAGTATGATTCAACTATGGGTTGCTAACCATGAACCACCCAGAGATCACAGCCCAATGAAAAATCATGGGTTCTTTTCCTGAGTTGTTTAGCAATCCATAGTTAACCACATGGGCTGGTTCACACTTAATAACAAACTACAATTAAATGACAAACAAAACTTGAGGTATTGTTCCACATAAATGGCACCTATATTACCCAAGCATCAGTTTTAAGATCCTGGGCATAAGATTTGCACATATACTAAATATTTATGCAATATATACTAAATAAATATTCACTAGAAAATTTACTACTTTATTTTTAAGGAACTGCTGAAGGGCATTTAAGAAAAGTTTTATTGCATCATTATTCCTAATCAAATGTAATGTTCAACCAATAACAGAATTTATGTTCAGTCCATTTAATTTTATTCATGTCTCCTACCATAAATACAAGTAAATGCAATGAATTTCCTATTTAGACAGTAGACAGAAGGAATTCTATTGAAAAATGTGCAAGCATATATGATCTTTCTTTTTAAAAATTGCCCAATATACTGACTTTTATATTCTGCTATTACTTAAGCCCAAACAAGGCAGCACTATCCTATAGAAAAGGATAGTCTATTTGTTTAACCATGACTATTCAAGTCTGTATAATTAAGATGCCTTGTAATTATATAGATTTTAGCCTTCCTATGCCTGTAAAACAATACATACAATGTAATATTATTGTGGAACCACTACTTAGAATACTTTTGCTAATTATATTTTTCTGAAGCAGTGTTTTGCAATAAATCTAAGGGGATTTGGAGCAATGAAACTTTAAACCAGGTATAATCCTAAAACAGAACTTAAAACAAAATAGAGGGAACCACCCTTGGAGAGCATTTTCCAACATAGCTATCTAGCATGCACTTATGTGAAAACATTATAGCATGAAAGAAACTATGCTCAAATGGAACTACATCCAGTTAACAAGAGACCACACACTGCTAATAGGATAACACATGGAACATCTGAATTCCTATCAACATAACACAGAGCTGCTCCTGCATTATAAAAATATGCAAGCATTTACTAATGCATGTGACCACTGGAAGGGCTCACAGCTTTAAGTTCTTGCATTTTCCAGCAAGGTCTAAAGACAACTAGATTTCTGTAACTTTAACATATTTGCAGGCAAAACAGCGCCAATAATCCTTGTCTTTCTTTGCATGTGGTCACTTTAGATCCCAAATATGCCCAGCTTCACATGAGATCAATTAAACAACCATAGAGCAACAATCCTCAACACACTCAGAAGTCCTCAGTGAAACAACTGGACACTGCTTCCAAGTACCTACACTGAGCAATTTTATAAAGGTCCATCCAGAATAAGTCCTGTTGAGGACTACAGAATTTACTTCCAGGCAATCGGGTACAGCACTGCAGTTTTAGTTAGGACAACATTCCATGTATGATGTCAATACACTTTGTATAATATAAGAATGTATGTGTAATGACATGATGTACCATCTCTGAATTTGTAGGTTATGGTAGAAAAAATAGCAATGTCTTCCAATGTTGAAACTGAAACTTTCCTCTTGCGTTATAGACAGTTGTACTGTATGGATAACTTAAGAAAGCCCTTTTTTGTGATTTAAAGACATAACCTCTATGCATACCCACTCAAATTAATCACACATTTATAAACTACTCTAAGGCAATCTTTAATTTAAAAAAACCAGAAAGAGACACAAAGCAAATTAAACAATACAACACACTACAATAATCCTATGGATTTTTCCCAACAATTGTAATTAGAAGTTGTTTGACAGGAAAAGCTAAGATATAATAAATATATGCTCAATGTTCATTAATAACTTCTGATTTCATCATCTTACCTCAGCTCAGCAAACTGACTCCCAGATAAACATGCACAGGATTCTACTGTATACCTCCAAGACATACAGCATGTACATTTGCGCCACCACTTACCCTCTCAAAAATATTGCTTTCACTCTTTTGCAATTGCCCTAATTGAGGTCAGTGTGAGAAACCAATTTAACAAGTCTCCTTATAATCAGTGCAAGCTCTGGGTTGCATGGACTGGTAACATGACCTTAGCACCCCTCCCCTTCCCTAAGTGGATCCTTCCTCATTGCCATGGTCACCAGAACCTATCAACTTGATTCACATGTCACAGGGCAATTCTTAGGCTGCTTGACATGTGAACTGGGAACTCTGGACTGTTTATGGATTAAGAGCCCACAGTTAGCTCAACAACTGCCCATGATTTTTGTTGGCCCAAGTCTGAGTTGTTTAACCCATAAAGCAAGCCAGTGTTTCCAGGTTTATGTGTCATAAATTAATCCAAGAACAGGTAATTTCCGAGTTGTTAATTAAAAGCAGAAGAGTTTGTGGTTCATGTGCTCCCCTCATCTCCACAACTGCCACCAGGCCAAGCAACCCCAGAATTGCCACTCCAACCTGAAAATTGTCATTCACTTGCCCTCTGCCTCTGGCTACAGTTCATACCACTATCCAGGGCAAAGCAAGTGGAAGCTTCTGTTTTTCTCCTTTGCTCTTCTCTTCTTATGCTTGGAGATGAGAAATGACCACGTAGATACATGAAAGAGAAAAAGGAATAGGGCCAGAGAGCAGGCAGTGGGTCCAAATGCTTCAATAAAGGCCTTGGCTAGCACCCAAATATACCAGGTCTGCTTATAATTTCTAAATGCTGGTCTTCTTATGTGATTTGCACATCGTGGAAGGTGTCTGAGATTTCACCTCCAATATTTGGACCTACACTTCCTCTAAGCTCTAGCCACCACATCCAAAGGTCAGGTGACAGTGGTAAGCCAAAAACTTGTTAGGGCTTCAAGTTTCCCATTCCTGTGGTATAGCAAACAACAACTTTAGATTTGTATCTGGTACATCCAGTCTTATTTCTTGTATGACAACATCTGCTCTAGGATATTTCAGATTTAGGGAACAATCCAATCAAAGATAAACTCCATTAACTGCAATGGAGGAGCAGAGGGTAAACAGAAGGGTAAACAATGAAAGGGTAAACAAAAAATTGCTTAATTTGGGCAGGCTCCTGTCATTTAAACTCTACAAAGTTGGATTCAATTAGTGTAATGGTTGCAGTGCCAAGTAGCATGTAAACTGTGAACCAATCAGGGTGTGCTTATTTTTCAGGCGTAGGTTTGAACTTTTCATACTAGCATCTTTAATAACTTTTCATACCTCTTAGTCTTCAGAAGCGGACAATGAAATGTTTATTCATTGATTGATTTTAAGCATAGGCTGACACAGCAGAAAATCGTTCAGCACGCACTAAATAATGCAACTGGCCAAGTTAGGTATAACAAGCTCTGTGTTCTGTTGAAGCTGCAGAATTTCTAAAACAAACTTATTGCAAGCCATTGGCTTGCCCAGCAAAAGAAACATGCTGACAGAAAGTAATTAAACAGCTGTTTTGTCAGACTTGCTGCTCAATCAATAGCTCCTCATTTCTACATATTAGACTGGAGTATTTGCGATAATCAGAACTTAAGAGAAAAAAAATACAGAGACCTGGAAACTGTAAGAATTGGTTCACATAGGGGTACTTGAATAAGTGAGTTATTGACTCACTTTAGCAGCACATGTAAGATTAATATATATAGGGGAGGAATTTTCTGGAATATCCATGTTGATTAGGCAACATTACCTGGACTGTCTCACCCTGTAGCGCCCATAGAAATAAAATGAGGTAACAGTGCTTGTCCAGATACATAAATATACTTCCCATCACCCTCCTCGGCCCCACTCCACTTTCTTTTGTCATCACAGTTTCTGAGGGGTGCTCCTTGAATCTGTGCTGCTGAAGATTGCTGAATGAGGTGGGAGATTAGATTCAAGGGGAGTTTCTTCATTCGCATTTCTTTAAACAAACTTTATTTTCAATTAAAAGAAAATAATGAGGAATCACTTGATGTCTTAAATTACATTATTTGGTGGAAATATAATTAAAATGTTTACCTGTTGGCAAAGTGCAGTTGAGAAGTGAAAACATAAAAATGGCCCAAGACCAATGGCTTCTTGTACTACTATTACTCTGGCTAATAATAAATACCTGCAACATGGGTGAGTGCAACAACTACCTCAAGCCAACTGGGAACCCTCCAGATGCGCTGGGCTACAATGCCCATCATCCCCAGACATGTTGATGGTGCCATGAACGGGGGAGGGGGGGAGCTGTCCTGCAAGTGCCACTGTCACTTGGATAAAGTGAGGAGTGCATGGGGCAGCCTCTCCCCATGGCACATCACATGTAAGACAACCCCTGGCATGAAGGGAACATCCATGTGGACTCCTCAAATTGTCTGAGTACAGCAGTACATGCCCACACAGTGAAAATATGGCCCCAGTCATATTTTTATTTTTCCTCATATGCAAGGAAGACATCTCCCTGCACATTAACAGCTCATCAGGGAAAATGTTACGGTAGCACCTCTCACCTTGCCATACCAGTTTTCCATGGGCAATGGCAACATTCAAATATTCCTGTCAATTGCTGTATTTGCATTCTGCACAGCAAGAGGCTCAAAACCATCATGCCTCTTGCATTATCATTTGGTTTTGAAAAACATGTCCAGCCAAATGCTGGCATTTTGATGAGATTCATGCAAGTGTGGAACTGTCCCACTGAATTCAAGGAGGCACAAATGTGTTTAAATGTGGCTGGCACAGGCCATGGGATAAGGGGAAATTATGTCAGAGAGTAGCTTCAACTGTGATCCTTTTCTAAGCTACAGGCACCTTCTTTCCTCTAACAAACCTATTAGTGTGGGTCTATCTGCATGTACATAATTCATGTGCTCCCCCCACAAATGCACACACAAGTGCAGCACACCGTTTGCAAAATTAGGATTTGGCATGGGACTTTTGTCAAAGCTCAGTCTCCTCCAAACTTCACGTGCCTTTATGCTAAGTTCATTTTATACAATACTACATAGAGCAGAGGACATGATCTGGGTCCTCCCCACCCCCCACACACTCCAATGTTGACAAACTACTACTTCCATCACCCCTCATTGGCTAGGCTGGTTGGGACAGGTAAGCAGAGGAGTCCGAGAACACCTGGAGAGCTGCAGCCCCCCCACTCTGATATACAGTGTTCTATCAGCTTCACAAGCCATTGCCCTGTATAATGTCCCCAAAAAGATTGTTTTCTGTTTGATTTAACTTACTGAGGAGTTCACCTCTTTGTAGAAGGCAACAAAACAAATTAGGCTGGAGCAAGACTGCCACATTTTAAAAGGCAGATCTCTAATGCCTAACCCAAATTCAACATGTGACGCTTTTCCAACGATGGAAAGCCGAGGTAAACAGCCTGCTGGCTTTGGGACAGATCAGGCAGCAGCTGTTAAAAGCCTAGATCCATAGTCCATTAAAATGGGTGGCAGCCTGAGGTGTGCAGGAACCCACCAAAGGAAAGCCAGAGGCTTCGAAAACCATTACCTGTCAGCAAGATTCTTTGGTCTGAAGGGGCCACTAGGCCCTTGCCCCCGTGCCCCCCCAAGGGGGCAGGCTGCGGATCCGCAGAACCCTCTTCTCTGCCCAGGAGTGGCCCGCAGGCCCCAGGGGCCTTTGCGGGTGACGAAGGGGAAGTCCCGGCGGCCGCGCCGCGGCCTCTCATGCCCAGGGAGAGCAGGCGTCCTTTGTACATCCACTTCTGAAGTTTCCTAACCGTCACGGCTGGCGGTTTGGGGAGACTCTCGTGGGCATCTGCTGCGGAAGGGGGACTTATCTCGCCGCCACCGCACGCCTCTTCTGGACCCACGCTGCTTCCCAGCGCCGCTGCTTCGGCCAGGGTGGTGCACAGCGCCGAGCCAAACTTCGGCAGCAGCATCTGCCCCAAGTCGTCCGGGAGCGCCGACGAAGCTACGCCGCAAACGCTTCGGCTGCCGGCGCGCTGTTTGCAGCTGCTATCGCCAGAGCAGCCGGCGGCAACTGCAAGGCAACAGGCTTCCCGCCTTGTGCTAGGCGGCGGCGGCCGCGGCGGCGCCTGCTTCTGCAGCAGGTGACCCTGGGGCGCCAGCGGCTCTTGCAGCAGCGACCGAAGCGCGCTGTCGCTTCTACACCTCCGCGTGGACGGCGGCCTGGCGGGAGGCTGAGCGAAGAGAAGGGTCTCCAGACTCTTGCTGACGTCCCGGTGCCACGCGGGGCCCCGGGCAGAGCCTTGGGAGCCGGGATCGGACCCTTGCAGCGGAGAAGACCTATTCCTGCACGAGGGAGACCACCTTAGTCCATCCTTCCTCTCTCCATCCCCGGAGAAGGGAAGGTAGGTCACTGGGTGCGGGGAGCAGCCAGCGACGGTGGGACTGGCCGGTGGCAGGTCGTGCATGGCGTGAATCAGCAGGTAATAGGCCTCCTGCAGCTGACTGCGCAGTCTGCCAGTACTCTCCCGTGCCCTGGCCCGGCTGCTGCCCCCGACGACGGCGCCGCTGCCCTCCCTGGCGCCCCGCGCCTCGTCCAGCGCTCCGGCCGTTCCGTGGCAGCCCCAGCCTGGCAGGCTCTGGTTATCGTAGTAATCGTCTTCCTCGCTCCCGTCGCCCTGCTCCCGGGCCGATTCGGAGTCTGCGCTTCGCGGGAAAACGGAGGACGACAAGGGGAGCTCTGACGGCGGAGGTGCACGGAACCCAGGAGGGCTAGGCGGCGGCAACCGAGTCCCTTCCACGCGGTTCCTCTGGGGGCAAGGGCAAGCTATGGAAGCTCCCGGCAACCGTTCCCCAGGAATCGCCGCCTTCCCCTGCCTGCACCAGTCAGTTGAATCTCGCAGCTCTGATTCTTCCAGTGGGGACACGAGGTCCTCACAGCCGCCCGCTGGACTGCCTAAGGGCGCGCACAACGCTGCCGTCCTGTTTCCTTGGGGCTGCAAATTCCGCTGGGCTTTACTTCGAAGAACGCCGCCTCCGTTGGGGTGCCCGACGGCTTCCCCGGGGCTTGCTACCCCTCGCTGCGATCTTCTGTTCCGCAGCTTGGAAAGAGTTCGGCGCAGAGGGTCAGCCATGCCCGGTTATCTCCTCGCCTCTTTCAGTTAGTCTCCGTTGCTGCTACTGCCGCCGTCGAGCACGAGGCTGCGGCTGCGGCTGAGTGGCCCCCTGAAGGCGGCGGCAGCGACAAGCGCAGCAGCGCGCAGCCCGGTTGGCAGGAGCGCCCCATGGTCGAGTTGGTCCGTGCGCGCGTCTCGGTCTCCCCTTTTGCTGCTGCTGTTGCTGCTCACATACTTGGCATAGCTGAGCGGGGTGAGAGGGCGCCCTGCAATGCGCATGTCTTGCTGCCAGCAGCTGGGCTGAGCGCTCCTACAGGAGCACACACGGCCTTGCCTCCTCCTCGTTCCAGCCCTGAGGCTGCACAGGCTGGGATAGGACGTCGGAGAACAACGGGAGAGGCGAGGTTTTCACCCACCCCCCCACCCACCCCCAACACGCGCAGGGGCGGGACGAGGAGAGCGGTGGTGCAGCCGTTCGCGCTATCCCTCCCTCTCCTGAAAATTAACCCTTTAGCTGGCCTCTCATAAATCCTCTTGAGACGCGCTTCCGTGGGCTACCTTGGGTGTGAATGTGAACGTGGCTCCAGAGGCGGCATGTTTCCTTTTTCTGGGGAGGCTTCTCTTTAAGAACTAGCTACCTGGGAGGGGTAGAACATCCCACGTGTCAAAGGAAAGCAAAAGGAGAGCTGGCTGAGTATCTGCTTGTCTGTTAGGAAGAAACAGCAGTCCTGTCCAGTTCTGCTGTTATGGCTTGCTTGCTATGGCAAGGGCCATTCAGTGCCCCGGATCTGCATACGTACAATGGGAATAACGTGATCTGCTGGCAGGATTATTCCAAGAAGAAACTCAATAAAGAGTAGCAAGCATTTTGCAACTGCACACACAGTACAGGAGACGACAGTTTAAAGGTAGATAAAACATGGTAACTTCTTGTTCTGATGGGTAGTATCAGCCATGACCTCACCCCATTCCTGTCAAAGGAATTTGAACAATATATGACTAAGCTCTGAAGAAACTTAACACATCTGCACATCTGTGCACTTTGAAAGAGGCTGTTGACTTTATTTTGAACCCACCTTATTACTGCATGTAACATTTGCTTGTAGTGAAACAAGAAAGGGCCCGTGCATCTTCAACTGCACAGCCTTGTGTATGAGAGACAATAACACAATCACTAGATTTCCCCAATCACAGCTGCACAAGTGCTCTTGCCCGTTGGAAAATTAAAGCCCTGCTCTGATTTATCAGCCTCCCCCATTGTCTCTAAAAACTTGGCAATTTATCTCAGGCAGGGGTGAGGGAGAGCCTTCCTGGCCCACTGTTTGGAATGATCCATTGCAAGTGGCAGCATCCTTTTTTCCGGATGAGCACTGAGCAAAGGCCCTCAGCTGCTGCAGTACATCAACTAGGGCACAACAGTTGCCTGCCTGCCTGCTTGCCTGCCTGCCTTTCTTTCTTTTAAGGGCAGGTTGCTCTTGACTTTCAAACAAGGAAAGGTGGCAGGGATGGTGGCAGCTGGTCAAAAGAGGGACTGTTTGCTGGTGGCAGCTGCCTTGGCCACTGCTGCAAGTTGCTTTTGGCATTGGTGCACCAGCTGGCAGGCAGGAGGAGCTTCTGGAGCCAGCTGCTGTCTCCTGGCCAGGACAAGGTTAAGTGAGGACGCGTCACTGTTTTACAGTGTCCCAAAGGACTGGAATTCTCTCGTCAAAGGGAAATGTAAGGATACAGTTAGATGCTGTTCCGAAACTTGACCATGACATGGATAAGTAGATGATTTGGCTCAGAAATTGTGCAACCAACTCCTGGAATGAAGCGGGTGTTCTGATCATCATTTGAGTTTCTCCTCATTTGGAAATTCTTATTTGTGAATAAACAGCAGCACTGATATTGTTCAGAGTGACAAACTTCTGAGCCTCATTTCCAAGAAGGAACAGACATTATTGATTGGAATCTATCAATATATGTTGTTAGTATAGCTTAAAACAATATACAGTAAGAATACTATTATGTAAAGCATGAAAATTAATGTCTGTGTTTTTTTAAAAAAAACAAACCCAAAACACTTTCTTCACCTTCTGTTGCATACATTCCTTTAATTACTATATTATGAAAAATATCAGCAAATGCTGCTAAACATAGGATATAAAGCTTAAAATTAGTGCAAATGCTTAGATGTGATGATTGCTTTTGTAACACATTACGTAGCAATTGTTTCTTTCTCCAGTACTTATTTCTCAACTGATATTTCAGAAGCAACTATAAGAGAAAGCATCAGGGATGATGGAGTTGCAAAGATTTTTTTGTCCGCTTGCTTGCTTTGGATTAGTTTGGTTTGGTCTGCTTTGGGAATACCATGGAGGAGACAAACAAGTATAGCACTGGCCTTGTATAACAGCAAATGTGCCATGCAATTGGTCACAAAGTGGTTTGTGAGGAATGGCATTTTAACCAAGCCTCATGAGCCGGCATTTATCATTCTCTTCCACTAAAATGTCATCTTGAGAGCTTATTTGACTGAAGATGACTTTGAACATCAGGAGGCCAGAGGTCCCTTCTTTAAAATGAGTAGTTTTTATGCGAGTCTTTTAGCATGGAGCCAGGTCTCATCTCATCTCTCTTGAAGAAGCTGGTGGAATCATAGAATAGTAGGGTTGGAAGGGGCCATGAAGATCATTGGGTCTAATCCCCTTCAGTTGCAGGACATCAGTTTACATCATCCCACTCAGATGGCTGTCCAGTTTCTTTCTCTAGTGTAGGAGAGTCCATGACCTCTCTAGGCAACTGGTTCCACTGCTGTAATGCTCTGACAGTGAGGAAACTTTTTGCGATACCTAGCTTGAAACTGGGTTGTCACCATTTGAATTGATTATTCTGTGTCCTACACTCTGACATCAGCAAGAAGAGATCTTGATCTTTCTCTTTGTGATAACTTTTGAGGTACTTATAAAGGGACATCATGTCCCCCCTCAGCCTTCTTTTCTCAAGACTGAACATGCCCAGTTCTCTCAGTCTCTCCTTATAGGGCAGGATTTCCAAACCCTGGATCATGTTTGTTGTTGAAAACTATTTAATGTCACCCATGATGTCAGCTGCATGGCAAATGGTGCCAAAATGGGCAAATTGGGTTGCCCCAATGCAGTCATTTACTCAAAGCTCACTTTCCGGTGGACATCAGGGTTATTCTTCAATATTCATCTGGCAAGCACAGACTGAATGACCCTGTGAATTGGTCCCCATTGATAAACTGCAAAGTTTAAAGAGTTTGACTTTTGGTTTCGTTTGCATTTTCCCAGGATGAGAACATTTGCTATGAGAGAAAAGACAAATTCATAGGCCCACAGTATTTATTTCACAAATATGGCTTTTTGAAAAGGCCTAGGGATGGTAGATGGAAGCAGTTCTAGGTGGCCTCCAGGATGCCCTCAGAATCTGCTCTAGAAGGAGAGGAAACACCCTGGGCCTATTTTAGGGCAGTGGGGAGGGATACAATGTGGAAGGAGAGAGAAAATCACCTTGTATTAACTGATGCTTTGGAACAGTGGTGGCGAACTATGGCATGCGTGCCACAGCGGGCACGCAGAGCCCTGTCTGTTGGCACACAAGCCAGGCCGCCCCAGCATCGACCCAGCAGCCGACCATCGCATAGCAGTGCCCACAGGGATCGTGCACATGCTCAGAAAGGAGTAGCACCGCCAAGCAATGACGTCACGAGCAATGACCCATTGGCCGCAACTCGTCCGAACTTTTGCATGGCCAGTTAGTGCGCTGCCAAGGATATATATATATTTGCTTGGACGGGCTGTGAGTTGTTTTTTTCTAAATTAAAACCTCAGTTTTCAGGTTGTATGTAGTGTTGGCACTCTGAGATACATAAGTGGGTTTTGGGTTGCAGTTTGGGCAGTTGGTCTCTA